ACCGTTTCCCTCAAGTACTTACTTTAACTATGCCTCCACTTTCGGGCAATTCAACTCAAATCACATTAAATCCTCTCTAATTCTTAAAATGTCGCTTCAAACTCAGTCTACTGCTACCGATTCCGTAAAACTTAGAAAAGGGAGGCCGGAAGTTGATGTTAGAACGTCACAATCCGGGAAAGCCCTTTTCTGATTGGTGGATATCTTGAGAGTTATATTAATATTAAGAGCTGTTTAAAAATGGAGCTTGAGCAGTTCTAGACTACTGGTAGCTACGTATTTTATAAATAACTTAGTTATATATATTGATACATTTATAGTCCCCAACTGTTTGCAAATAAATATATATTTAGCCCAAAACTGTGTACTTTTTCAACTGCTATTTAAGAAACATTGAAATATTTAGGCTGAATAGTGTTTGTAAGGATTGTTTTTAAGCTATGAAATTCAGTATAAGTTTACGGTAAACATACATTTACTTCAGTTGACTGGAACGTTAAAGTATTATATTAAGCTGAAAGGTGTTCTGTAGATTTTTATTTTTTGAAAAGGGGGTGGGGTCATTAATTGGATTACCAGATGTGGAATTAAAGTCAAGTTGCCTTACAAACACTTACAAAGACTATTTTCTTATAAGCTTTAATTGTCAGATCCAGGGTAATACCGGTATTGATATTTTATTCACAGAAGTGAATAGGATTGGGAAGCAGGTTCAGACTATTTTAGCCCTCTCCCCACATCAAGGTCAAGGTGAATACACAATAAATTAATAATTGAAGCAAAAAGTAAGAATGTACAAAAGAAGAAAACAAAAAAATGAGCAAAGGTACCGAGAAAAGAAGAAAAATTACAGAGAAAAATAGGCGAAAATACAATGTAGTACCGATTTAGAAATATTCAAAAAATGTTACAATATTCTACATGTGTATATGACAGTGTTTATATAAAACGTTTTGTTTGGAAATGGTTGCATGTTTAACTAAAATCTGTCTGGATAGTGAATTAATAAATATTTTTCATATCCAAGGTAAGAACTGCGAACGATAGCATTGTTCTCCCGCCTACCTCCAAGTCAATTTTCAAAAGTTAACACATTTGAATGATTTTTCATATTTATATAGATATTCATATGAATTTTCATAAAACATTGCTTCTTTGTGAAAACAAAGAGAGTCAACTCTATAATTTGGGTAAAACTTGTGTTTTTTTCACTATAGAAATCAACGGAAAACGGAAAATATTTTTAAAAAAGCCCCCCCCCCCCATGAAACAAAAATTCCTTTTTACAGGTAATATGGACTGTCATTTCACAAATTCGTACCAAAGCTTTTTGTGTTTCACGGGGGGGGGGACATATGTTTACAGACAAAAAACTACAAAAATGCTTATTTTTTCACCAATTTCAAAGGGTCAAACACTGGCATTAAAATTATCAGTCAATTACCATTGAACTGTTCTTTGCATTCAACAAATATTTTTACAGTCAAATTGCCATTAGTATTGAATTAAATGGGTGTAAAATGTAGGCGGGAATCGAGAGTTAGCGTGCGTAGTTCTTTACGCTTTAAATTCAATAACAATCCTTATTTCCCAACTTGATGTTTTGATGTTTCTCCCAATGGGGAAGATGTCCTGGTTAATATTTTGGCAATGGTTTTGCTGTCTGTCTGTCATGAAATCCTGTTCGAGTAATAACTCAATTCCTCTGTTGAGAACGGATTCAAACTGAACAGCATACTATATATTGCTGATCACCTAAAGATATACCATAATCATGACTTAGGTCATTTTCAAAAGGTCAGGGATAGCTTTACAATTTGCTTTCGATAACAAGCTTTCTATAGAATAAGATGTCCTTCTAATAAGACAGTTGACATTCCTCGGGTGACTGCTTTGCTCAGAACAAACCTCCCAACTAGGTACGAGCCACGCGAGGAGCCTCCGAGTGCCAGAAAGAGAGATAACTTTGGAATATACATCTATCCGACAATTCATGTCATCAGGTAATACTTAATTACGATATTTCTTCGTAATTATTACACCTGTTATTAGAAAGAATTTCAAGTCACAAATAGTGAATTTTATATATTATACCAATATTTTTATAGTTATTTAATGTCATTTGCACAGGGTTTTTTTTCTTCTTTATTTTTTTTAACCTGTGACAGTCAGGGACATATATAACTAACATACGCCCCTTTTACAATTAAGAATACTTCATCTTTTTCATATATAAAATTTAAAAACTAACAAATTTACCAGGTTCCATATGTAGTAGATTTTTTCCCTAACATTTAAGAAAGATAACTCTTTTGATAACAATGTGAAATTATAACTCAAAAAGTAGCGCTTCGTTGTGTTTTCTAATAAGATTTTATTTTGTATGACAATCAATATTATTATTTTTACGAAAGCGTATTAATAAGAAGTAATATTTTTTAAAGGTGGTAATTCCATCTTTAAAGCTGGCTTTTCCAACTTTAATCTTGACTTTCCCAACTTTAATCTTGGCTTTTCCGATTTTTTACGGCTTCGTGTGTTTTATTCGTATACTTTGTAGCTGGATTCGTATTGCTGTTTTATAATTACAATGGAAAGAAACGAATTAATTGTGAAATTATGACGAAAGAATGAATAATTTTCCTTGTGTTTTCATATAAAGGCCCCAGGATCTTGAAATAGACTTAAGTCAATTTTTCAAGCACCTGTTAATTTTTTTTAATTATTGAATTGATCTCTAAATTTGCAGATAACAATTAACTCTTTTGTGAAGCATTATTGAATGAATATTTTAATCTGGACTTCATGCCTTCTACAACATTTTACTACAACAGAGAGATTTTGACTTAAGACGTTTCATGATCCCGGGTCCATAATTGATACATTTAGAGACAGTTGTCTTTGTTTTGAACTATTTTATTGACAGTATGTCAAAGGGATTGGACACAAGTTCTAAAAACTTAGATAGTCATCTCCCATACATAAAATCTTAATAGCTATACAACATTTACAAAGATTTGCAATTTTACAAAAACAATTGTCTTTGAAACATGAAAAATCAAGTTGATCCATCCTATATATATATATATATATATATATATATATATATATATATATATATCTATATATCTATATATATATATATATATATATATATATATATATATATATATATATATATATATATATATATATATATATATATATATATATATATATATATATATATATATATATATATATATATATATATCAAACACCTAATATGGTCTCATTTGTTTAAATTAATTCTCAACAAATTTATGTATATCTGATCTCTTTTAAAATATGTATCTCGTTGTATGAAGTTTTTTCTATAATATAATTAAGGGATTTTAAAGTTGGAAGTTATGTGTTACGTCATATGGAAGGCCAAGGTCAAAAATAATTGACACAGTTTAATTGCTTATACAAATTTGTTTCAGTGTATTATATTTGCATTAATAAAGTTGATGTTAATATTAAATAAAGGAAAAACTGATTAAGGAAAAAAAAGTCAGAAAAGCTGAAGTTAAAGTTGAAAAACCCAAGATTAAAGTTGGAATTTCCAACTTTAAAGTTGGAAAAGCCAACTTAAAAGTTATAATAGCCAAGTGTAAAGTTGAAATTAACTACTTTAAAGTTGGAAAAGCCAAGATTAAAGTTGGAAAAACCAAGATTAAAATTGGAATTACCAACTTGAAAAAAATATATAACTTGCCAATAATACGCTTCCGTATATTTTCAATTTTGTGTTTTAATAATAAATTATTGTTCTATCTTTTCACTGTATCAAATTTTCTTCATATCAATAAAATTGATTTATTTTATTTTATTTTATTTATTTATTTATCTATTTATTTATTTTATTATTATTATTTATTTATTTATTTATTTTTTTTTTTTTTTTTTTTTTTTTTTTTTGGTATAAAATTTTGAACAAAGGGTCATGCATTAGACATTTTAAATATAGTTCCATTAAATCTCCAAATACTGTATTTATATAGGTATATATGGGGAATTTAGAATAATCGTTAACATGAATAGGCTTAGGCTTTATCATAAGTAGAAATGGTTGTGGAAATTAAACGCCAATTTTAAATAAGAAAGATCAATCTTATTGCAGATACCCATAATTTTTTTATGGGAAACAGTAGGGTTGGTTGATTTACATCCACTTAAAGTTCTCATTTGTTATCATATTATCGTTATTAATTTTCCAAATTCTTGACGTGGTGTAAGTTAAATGGTTCAGGTTAGATCGTTGAATCATATATTGTTGAATGATATTTTGACGAGTATTTCGAAATTCATTGCGCACACAAGTTCTTAATGTATACGATATCGGAAAACCTCGAATGTCCACCACCACACTGACATTTTGACGATAGGGTAAACTCTCCTTTCTGTAGCTGATTGCCTTCATCAGGTTGACATATATATATATTTGCCAATATAGTGAGCGCGTACTAAAAGTTAAAGATCTTGCTAAAAACATTTTGCTTATTTTGTTTTTGATCATTTGCAGCGACTTTGCTTTGTTGTGTCTTAACTGTGCTCCTTTCTTCTTGTTTACGAATTCTTCCATCCTAAATGTTTTATTACAGGCTGGACAACTTTGTGATGAATTAGTTTTAAACCTTTTTATATTCATATCTGTTTTGTGTGTGTGTGTGTCCACAGTGTGGTTCTCAAGCTTACACTTTGCTTTGATTCCAAGGTAGGGCCTACTCGCCAGACTGAATTTTAATTAATTCATTTCCCTATTTTCGTGAGAACTGCATCAGGTTCTAAATTTTGCCTGGTCCATTTTTCAAATTGCGAAACACCATTAAAACTCTAGTTTTGTTAATAAAATCGGGATCACAGAATTTTAATCGGGTATGATGATCAGTTGTAGATGGCGCTCTTTAATGAATGTACGCATGCGTTGCATATTTTTGACAGCGATGGCGGACGATATTCCAAACATTGCATGAACGACCAGTTCTTCGAGTTGTTTTCAAGTAATTTTGAGGATTTAATACTTTTAAGAAGATTCTTTTTCTGGAGTATATAAACAGAACTTTAGGTATAAAAATGTTAATTGATTTCTTTCTTTTTTTTGAACTGTGACCGTTTTTTTAATGTCTCTTGCTGTCTTGTCTAGACCACAAGCATCTGAATTTCTATGAATAAGCCGTTATCTGATTGATCAGAGTGATATTCATAGAAATTCAGAGGCCTGTGTCTAGACTAAGACATTTACCTGTAATTGTTAATATTTACAGACATTCAAAGTAGTTACAAGTGATATCCATTGCGTTTCTGTAGTAATCTTTTACGCAGGACATGCAACATCAAGAAAAAGTTGCTTTATCATGATCAAAGGGTTAGAACTACGAGGTCCAGCACAATCTCTTGATAAGCTATGTAGCTTGGATTAACTATAATATATAGCTTTATTAAGCTTTTCAGAATAGCTTACTTACTTACTTAGTCCTCTTCGTGCTTTGAGCACATAAGGCCTGCACCGAGGACCTCCATCTCTGTCTGTCCGCTGACATCTGCCCCAAGTCCATCCCTGTTCTTTCATTTCTTTTTCTACTGACCACCGCCATGTCTCCTTTGGTGGCCCTCTGTTTCGTTTCCCTGATGGAGTCCATCTTAAGGCTACCCTTGGTATATCTGATGTTTCCATTCTCAAGACATGGCCAATCCATTTCCATCATTTCTCTTTAATCTGGTGAGATAGGGCAGCTGTTTGTGTTCTTTCATACAGCTCCTCATTACTGATCTTGTTCGGCCAGAATATCTTAAGTATTCTACGGAGACATCTTGTTTGGAAGGTGTCTAGTTTTTGAGTGATGTTGTTTGTCACCTTCCAGGACTCAGATCCATATAGGAGGACTCCAATGACATTTGTTTTAAATATCTTTATTTACCTATTTTATCTCACTTTTTTCTGTGTTATTTTTTCAGCATGTATAAAAAGTTGCGACTCGATGCTGTGATAGTCTTCAATTTTAAAATCTGAAAATAATGCATGTCAAACTCGCTAATCAAATTGCGTCTACTTGAGAGACTTTGTACTCAAAGTTCTAAAAGTTTTATGGCTATATAAAGCAATTGATTTGTGACCAAACTGTTACTTCTTGAATGAAATTATAAAGGAGGTCAATTCTGGTCAACAAGAGAATTGATTGGTAATAATTCAGCACTATGTGAAGAAATCATACTTATCTATGCCTCAATACATACAAAGTGGTGTACAGTTATCCAAACAATGGAGAAAAAAAAAAATTGCTTAAAAGTATTCAAAAGCTGTAAAAAAAAAAAAATGTTAGAACTATCTTTGATTTGGGTTGCTTTTTAGATAGTCTATGGTACCTATATGAATAGTCAAATACTTGCAAATTTTTGGTCTATTTCTTACAAAAATCATTTTTGTGAAAAACTGCATATAAATAGCTTTATTAAGCATTCTTTTTCAAGGTAATTCTCCTCAAAAACATTTGGAATCAAAGACTTTCTAAAAGATTTGGGGTGCATAAGATATTTGATTAGTGACCAAACAGTTACCTCTTGACTTCTTGAGTGAAATTATAAAGGAGGCCAATTTTGATTAACATGATAAATTCAATGCTAGTAATGCAGTACAGTGTAATCATACAATAATGGAAATATATTTTAACCCCCCCCCCCCCCCCCAAAAAAAAGTCCAAAAGAGCAATGGTCAAAATATCTTTGATTTGAGTTGCTTTTTAAAATTCCATTGTACAAACACCTGTTTGTAAATTTTTCTCTAATTTATGTAAAAAGCATATTTGTGAAAAACTGCATATATGTAGCTAAATCAAGCTACTTAATTAGCTAAAGAAAGCTTCTTTATAAAGTTTATATAGTTGAATAAAACTACATAGGTAATTCAAGCCATGTAGCTAAATTTGGTGATTGTATCAGACCTGCTAAATATTACATGTCAGCTTACTGAGGAGCTTATTGTTTTAAAGTGAACTTTTTGATTTTGATTTTTAGAACAGCAGAAGTAAAAATAAATACTGTCCAACATCAACCAAAAAAATGGTATGTACATAAGTTGTTTTTGCAGAATATTATATAATTGAAGAATTTTTTAAAGAAGTGAAAATCTGTTTGTTATCATTTAATGTCAAACAGTTATTATATGCATCTTTAATTTTTGATAGGCTGATAAATTATATATGTTTCACCTAAACTATTTTTGATTGAAGTCTAAGCAGAAGCCTAGTTCTAATGCTGAGTGTGTTAAAGTAGTGGTGAGATGCAGGCCTTTGGATGAAAAGGAAATTAGGGATGGCCATGAACGGTAATAAGTCTGTAAAGAAAATTTTTGCCAAGATATTATTACACAATAAAACAGTTTGAACATGATCCATAGCTGTAATGAAAGCATCGTGACAAAGACTTTTTTTTGCCATTTAAAATTTGCGTGAAAGATTCTAATACAATCATATGAATTGTGAACAATATTTTTGATAAGAGACAAAATTTGCACATAAAGCTACAGGCATGAATTTTACTTTGAGCATCCAGTTTCCTTATGTAACTCTTAAATAGTTTTCAAACATTGTGAGTTTTAAAATGTACCTACAATGATTCTTTATTGAAAATTTTCATTCGATTATTTTTCAAATTGATCTCAGACTATTTAATACCATATTGTTTTCACATATTTTAATGATTTAAAAAGAAACTAGGGACAAATTAATTATGACATTCTTTTCTTTAAAATCTGATGGGTAGAATCTTTAGAATTTCTCCAGTTTTAGCTCACCTCCTCAGAGCTGCTATTACTGCCTTTCAGAGTCCTAGATTAAAGTTTTTGTTAAAGGTCATTTCCCAAATAACTGTAAGCCCCACCCTAGACTTAACTTGCATGGATAATGCATCTAAAGATTTATTAACCAGTCATGCCTCAGAGGGCATCTGATCTATATTTTTCAGACTGCCAGGTTAAAGTTTTTTGAGCAGATTCATTTCTCAAGTAACTTTAAGCGAAGGGCAAAACTTGCATGGATACAGAATGAATATTTCTAGACAAAGAGTTTATACATTACTTTTGTTTAAATGAGCTATCTAATCATTCATTACATCTGTTTGACAAAGATAAATCAAATAGAATACTTTGATGTTATAATTGCTTGCTTATTGTTGTAGAATTGTGGACATGGATGTTAGCAAAGGATCAATTGTTATCCATAATCCAAAAGGGCCTAATTCGGAACCTCCCAGAACCTTCACTTTTGATGCTGTTTATGATTGGAAGTAAGAAAGTTTTTGTGGTTATATCAGATTTCAAATGTACTGAAAACCCCTTTTTTTTGAAAGTTAATAAAATAAAACGACATTTTTTTTTGTACATCATCATGATTGAATGAAATGATCAAGTAAAGCACATGTACTGTTTTAGTTCTAAACAGAGAGATTTATATGATGAGACATTCCGAGACCTGGTACAGTCTGTGATTGAGGGGTTTAATGGGACAATCTTTGCCTATGGACAAACAGGCACAGGCAAAACATTCACAATGCAAGGTACATACATTATTCTTTTCATTAGAATTACTTCACTTGAGCAATAAAATATTTAATTTATGATTAGCTTATTTATTTGACATCAGTGCTAAATTGTTTTATTTTTCCACAGGTCCAAAGAATGACCCTGAGTTACGAGGTGTTATACCAAATTCTTTTGAACATATTTTTCAACACATTGCCAGGACTCAAAATCAACAATACTTGATCCGAGCTTCATATCTGGAGATTTATCAGGTATAATAAAAAATTACAAATCAATGATAGTTATGAAAGATTTTAAAATGGGAAGTTAAAATAATATGAAATGCTGGCATGTCAGAGGAACAGGTTTCATGGAAAAGCTGTGAGAGCATTTACTAAATGGCATTTTAAAATTGTTGGCAGGAAGAGATAAGAGACTTGTTAGCCAAAGATCACAAGAAACGGTTGGAGCTTAAAGAGCGTCCTGATACAGGAGTATATGTAAAGGTGGGTAACTTACTTATATACAAGTAATATCAATTAGTAGTGAAAAACAGAGCATCCTGATACAGAAGTAAATGTAGATTATTTACTGATATACTGTACATGAAGCAATATCAAATAAGGCAAAATTAAAAAAAATGTCTGTTTCTGGTAACATGTCAAAAAAAAGGGGGGGGTAGGAGGTAGGCAACAGCCTTTTTAAAAAAAAAATTACTTTTTATTCTGTAAGCATCAGTTAAATATTCAATACGCTGGTTTTTGTCATATACAAATATATGAATAAACATACACAACAAAACGAGCATATTCTTTAAAACACTTGGATAGAATTATTTTTATAGTATCTGGGACATGCATTTTATTGACTGCACTATGAGAAATCTGTACTAGTGAACAAAAGTACAGTTCAAAATCTGGATTTGTAATAAACAGCATTAGTTGGTAAGTATAAATTAGAATCGGTCAGGTTACTGGAAACACACATATTTTTTTTTTAAGCCTAATAGTTAGGCAAACATTGATACTTATTTGACAGTAGATGAAACGGGGATTCTTGCTTTGGTGACTAAAGTTTTCCATGTGTTTACAGGATCTCTCTTCATTTGTTACAAAAAGTGTGAAGGAAATAGAACATGTGATGAATGTGGGGAACCAGAATAGAGCTGTGGGGTAGGTATAAAAAGGGAGATAAATGTGGGGAACCAGAATAGAGCTGTGGAGTAGGTATAAACTATAAAAAGGGAGATAAATGTAGGAAACCAGAATAGAGCTGTGGGGTAGGTATCAACTATAAAAAGGGAGATAAATGTAGGTAACCAGAATAGAGCTGTGGGGTAGGTATAAAAAGGGAGATAAATGTGGGGAACCAGAATAGAGCTGTGGGGTAGGTATCAACTATAAGAGGGAGATAAATGCGAGAAACCAGAATAGAGCTGTGGGGTAGGTATAAACTATAAAAAGGGAGATAAATGTGGGGAACCAGAATAGAGCTGTGGGGTAGGTATAAAAAGGGAGATAAATGTAGGAAACCAGAATAGAGCTATGGGGTAGGTATCAACTATAAAAAGGGAGATAAATGTGGGGAACCAGAATAGAGCTGTGGGGTAGGTATAAACTATAAAAAGGGAGATAAATGTGGGGAACCAGAATAGAGCTGTGGGGTAGGTATATAAAGGGAGTTAAATGTAGGAAACCAGAATAGAGCTGTGGGGTAGGTATCAACTATAAAAGGGAGATAAATGTGGGGAACCAGAAGAGAGCTGTGGGGTAGGTATAAAGTATAAAAAGAGAGATAAATGTGGGGAACTAGAATAGAGCTGTGGGGTAGGTATAAACTATAAAAAGGGAGATAAATGTGGGGAACCAGAATAGAGCTGTGGGGTAGGTATAAAAAGGGAGATAAATGTAGGAAACCAGAATAGAGCTGTGGGGTAGGTATAAAAAGGGAGATAAATGTGGGGAACCAGAATAGAGCTGTGGGGTAGGTATAAAGTATAAAAAGGGAGATAAATGTGGGGAACCAGAAGAGAGCTGTGGGGTAGGTATCAACTATAAAAAGGAGATAAATGTGGGGATCCAGAATAGAGCTGTGGGGTAGGTATAATCTATAAAAGGGAGATAAAGGTGGGGAACCAGAATAGAGCTGTGGGGTAGGTATAATCTATAAAGAGGAGATAAATGTGATATATACTGTAGGAGATATATATGTATTTTTATTCAACTCGCTTGTTTCTTATCCCATCCAAAAAGCTTTGGGATAGAAAACAAACAACTCATTGTCCAATAGGAGATCCTATCTATGTAATGGTATACCATAGAGTTAAAATTATAATCTTTTAGATTTTTTTCAAAGATTTATGATGCATCATGCTTGTTCTATGAAATACTGCCCTGCAGTCTGTGTGTACTACTTATTTTTTTGTTGTTGACCTAATTGGACTCAGCTGTTAAGAGTGGTTGGTTGTGTTGTCTTTTTCAGAGCCACAGACATGAATGAACACAGCTCCAGATCTCATGCTATTTTCATCATCACAATAGAGTGCAGCACGGTACATTCACAGATATATATATGGATATAATAGAAAGAAATCTATAGAGAAGATCTAGTTAAACACATCTCATTTTGTACAATTTGTACTTTGATATTCTGTTGCAGTTATTGAATTCATGATATATTTACAAGTACCATGTCCTTAATTTTTGTGTCTTCATTAAAGATGTTCTTGTTTTGCAGGAGGATGAAGAAGGAGAGAATCACATTCGTGTTGGGAGGCTGAACCTAGTAGATCTGGCAGGAAGTGAAAGACAGTCAAAGACGGGAGCCACTGTATGTACCATTTGTAGTTATTAAACTTCCTTGTTAAATACTAAAATCTTATTGGTTAAGATGCATTAACCGATTTTAATTACCCTCGGCCTTGGCAATGGGTAATACTGTGGAATCATTTTTATTCGTGGGGGTCAATGTTTGTGGGTAGCCAAAAATTTCCTGGTTCATGGGGACGTAATTTTGTTGATAACAAGTTCTATTTCGGTTTTTTTTTCTTCAAAGTTTAAACAAAGAAGGATAACTCCGTCATTGTTGCTCATTTAAAATGATAAGGAGTTATCTCTCTTGTGAACACAAAACGTATCATTATATCTCCAAGCAATAGTGATTACTTCTTAGCGGTAAGTATATATTCTGTTGAATTTTTACCTCACTCATCTCATTTCAAAATGTACATCATGCAGTGGCTTAAAATGGGGAAAATCAACAACAGTAGGATTGCCTGATCCAAATGAAAGTCAAAATAACCAAGAAGCAATGATTTTAGAGTGCGCTAATTCTGCAATTGAGACTTTAATAGAAGATAGTCCCGCTAATTCCCCGTGTTCGACACCAAGAAAAAGAAAACAGGGCAACTACAATTATCTTGATGATGAGCAACAAGCGAAAATTGCAAAACTGGTGGTTGAAAATTGCTAAAGCGGCACAAAAAATGACGAAAGATCTAGGCCGAAATTTATCAGAATCTACAGTTAGAAGTATTAGGGATCAATATAACAGAATGAGGAGAGCCTCAGGTATGATTACAATTTTTAATTCAAAGATTTTGAAAAGAAAATAATAGTGACATGTCCTTTTCATTTATAACCTACTAGTAACATACTAGTATTTTAAAATTTACAACACATTCAAATAAAAACAAAACATTTAAAAATAATAATAATAACCGGAAAAAAAAGCTTTTTTTAAAATTATGGTGTTGTGATTTTAGGTGAATCTAGACTACAGACACTTCCTAGATCCCCACGTGGTAATCCTTGATGCTTGGGTCATTGGACAGAGATGTTCAAAACTGGGTCAAAAAAGTTCGACTGAATGGGGGAGTTATCAACCTAAGAATAGTAATGGCACCTGCGGAAGCGATTGTTACTAAATTTGATAGGAAAAAGCTTGCTCGGTATGGAGTACACATCGAATTTACAAAACATTATGCCAGATCATTATTGCGCAGAAGGGGCTATGTAAAACGAAAGGGTACAAAAGCCGTTAAAAACTTGCCAAATGATTTTGATGAAATTAAAACCGAATTTATAAACAAGGTTGAAAAAGTTAAGACTGATCATTCAGTCCCCGATTCTCTTATTTTAAACTGGGATCAGACGGGATGCCAACTTGTGCAGGGTGGGGACTGGACTATGGAGACCAAGGGCTCCAATCAGGTAGTGCTCGCTGGAATCGATGACAAGAGACAGATAATGGTTCTTTTGTGCGTGACTAAATCTGGCACCCTTTTGCCTTCCCAGCTGATTTACGCAGGTAAATCTGACAGATGTTTGCCTAAAGGCGTCAATTTTCCAGAAGACTGGGATATAACATTCGCCGACTTGCACTGGAGCACAGAAGAGTCAATGAACCGATACGTTGATAAAGTTATCGTTCCTTACGTGAATGAAATCTGCGAAAACCTTCCTTTGGATCGCATTAACCAGAAAGCAATTGCCGTATTTGATGTTTTCGCAGCATATAGAGCTGATACGTTATTGGAAAAATTAAAAGCCAACAACATTCAACCTGTATAGGTACCGGCGGCTTGCACCGACAAATTACAGCCAATAGATGTCACGGTAAATTACAGTTATAAAGAACAACTTAAATCATGTTTTCACCAGTGGTATGCGGAACAGGTCTTTAAATCTTTAGATGAGAACGACGACAACAATGCCAAAATTGACTTAAAAACGTCTACCCTGAAACCAATTCATGCTAATTGGCTAATTAGCACCCACTCCAAAATCGCACTGAAAAATGAGCTCATTAAAGGGGCATTTGAGCGCGTTGGACTTTAATGTAAACACTACTTAACAGTTAGTGACTTCTCAAATATTTATCACTTTATTACTTATGGATATAGTTATTGATGTCTTTGATACTTAATGAAATATTTTTTTTTTGTTTAAATAAACACATGAATACAGATTGTCTTCTTTATGCGCGATCACAAGGACACAAAGGTAACGGTTATTTCACGACATAAATAGTCTGTGTAATTGTAACTTTTAATAAATAATGAAACAAATGTTTGTATTATATACGTTCATGGAGATGTAAATTCATGGGTCAGGGTTACCCACGAAAGCCACGAACATTGGTCCCCCATGAACAATGATGATTCCACAGTAACACTAATGTTAGATGCATGTAATTAATCAGGGATAGACATTAACATTTGTCCGCTTACAAATCTCTGTCCAGGCAAGTGAAATTATTAAATACTTGCCCGACTGGGCAAGTGAATATTTCTGATAGAAACATGTATTTTTATCTTATATTAATTCCTAAATGAAATAATAAATTGAATACCTGATTTCCCTTTCTAGATAAGTCACTTCATATCAACATCCATTCAATAGTGGAATTTGTTAGATCTGTTTTCTCTCCTGCTGGCTAGACATATTTAGCCCTCAGGTTGATGATTTCTTATTCTGAGACAGGATATTAGGATGTAGTTTATTTGCTTACTTACAGAATTAATTTGACCAAATTAATATGCATGGCAAACTACTAATCCTGATCATGATATGCAAATTCAGGATGGCTTTGCAGTCATCACTGTTAAAGTACATATATTTTGGGGAAACCATTATAAAATACATTAATCCAAAAGACAAACCCTTCCTAAAATGACATTGTCTAGATCTATTTCTTTGAATTAATGATTAGTAATAATGTTAGCAAATGTTAAAATTGATTTTCAGTTTTTGAATCCTATTTCTTGAGTTATTGAAAAAAAAAAGATAAAATGAGTTATTTTCTTCTAAACTTTGGGCAACCAAGTTTTCATACATGTTTACTCTACCACTTTAGGCAGAAGTCTACCCCTTCTACTCCATTTCCCACCTACACGATTTATTTAAAAATCTACCGCTTTTCTACAAAATCTATTTTTGGTTTGCTTTGGTAGCCATTTTTGAAACCACTTGGTCATAAAATCTTGTTGGTTTTTAAAGATATGTGATTGGAACTGGAAGCATAGAAACACTTTTTTGTACCAATGTTAACAGAGATTTTAAGCACTTGGTTTAACAACAACTGATGCACACCCCTCAGCGATTATATTGGTTATGATAAATTTTGTTGACATCCCAGCTACAAAAAAGGGAGACTCAGAGATAGAATTCTACATGTAGAACTTGGATGAAAACTTTTGATTTCGCGTTGTTCATGAATGTTAAAAAGGGAATCCGCATTCATTTAATACTTTCTTGCATCTCGACTTTTGGTTTTGGTCATTGCGGGAAATCCAAATTTTTTTTAATGAAATACAAGCTAGTTTTAGTTCTGAATTCTATAATGACATCATTTATTCTATTTGGCAACTAAATGACCATTGACCATTGTGTGTAGTGGTTGTTAGTGAGTATTCCTTGGTGCAGTCAGACCTTTTTAAACAGTGTGCACGAAAGATCTACAACCTGCCCATTGTCACTTGAATACTGAACAGTCGTACATACTAATCATTCATTGAATTATACAGTAATGCTTGGATAGTATGACACTCAATACACTGACAAATCTCTGAAAATACTGACAAATTTCATACTTTGCAATTAGGCCAACTTTAAAATAATGTTTGTTTGCCCTCTCCCGACAAAGGATGAAGAAATTGGGTTGGTAGGTAGGTGGGAATTTTTTTTCTCAGTATCAATGCCGAATTCTAAAAATCTATTCAACAGAATGCCTAAAACAAATTATCTTTCCTGGAGGTTAAAAAAAGTTTTGAGTCGGGCCATTTTTAGCCAGTCGGTCGGGAGAGGGCAACCAAACATTTTTTTAAACATGGCCTTAGGTCTTAGATACATGCACATGTATTTTGGATTTTTAGAGAATTAAGAAATCTCTCTTACATTATTGTATTGCATAAAAATGCCTATTGGGTTTAAAAAAAGAAAGAAAGGTTTTTTTGGCTGCAAATGAACCCCCTCAATACCTTTTTTTTTGTAGGGTACAAGACTTAAAGAAGCTACCAAGATTAATCTTTCCCTCTCAGCTTTGTGCAATGTTATTTCTGCACTGGTGGATGGTAAAAGTACACACATTCCTTACAGAGATGCCAAACTGACTCGGCTCCTACAGGGTAAGCTGTGTGGGAGGGTAATCAGACTTCATTCTAATTTTAAATCAGACTTATTTAATAAGATATTTGATTCATTACAAGTAAATGGTATGGATCTAATGACACCTTTTGGAATTCCAGTTCTTTAATTTGACTTAACAGTATCAGTAAGATTTTGATTGGTTGACTCGAAAGTTCCTCTAGCTGAGAAGCATTGTACATTGTCGTTAGATCCTTTGTACCAAAAACATGTATATAAACAGATTAAATATCAGATTGATTTAAATTTGCACAGTAAGAAGCTAAGTTTGTAAATACTTAATTTTTGATATTCAAAGTAAACCACATGCTTAAAATAATTCCAGATTCCTTGGGAGGCAATGCCAAAACTGTGATGGTGGCTAACATTGGTCCTGCTAGTTATAACTATGATGAATCACTCAGTACATTAAGGTGAGAGGTTCTGGTTATGATGAATCACTCAGTACATTAAGGTGAGAGGTTCTGATTATGATGAATCACTTAGTACATTAAGGTGAGAGGCTCTGATTATGATGAATCACTCAGTACATTAAGGTGAGAGGCTCTGATTATGATGAATCACTCAGTACATCAAGTTGAGGGGTTCTAATTATGATGAATCACTCAGTACATTAAGGTGAGGGGCTCTGATTATGATGAATCACTCAGTACATTAAGGTGAGAGGTTCTGATTATGATGAATCACTCAGTACATCAAGTTGAGGGGTTCTAATTATGATGAATCACTCAGTACATTAAGGTGAGGGGCTCTGATTATGATGAATCACTCAGTACATTAAGGTGAGAGGTTCTGAAGGTACACTTACTGTAGCTTACATGTACTTACATTTAATGTAAAACACTTAAATGCCTATCAAGGTAAAAAGGAATATTTTCAGAAAGATTACTTAGGTGTCTCACATTTCAACATTATTAATTCTCTGGCAATAAAATAAATTTAGAATTCAACTTTTATGAGAAAATTGTGTAAATTTACAAAAGTAAGCAATAATTTACTCTTACAGGTATGCAAATCGAGCAAAGGCCATCAAGAACAAACCAAAGATCAATGAAGATCCAAAAGATGCCCTGCTTAGGGAGTTTCAGGAGGAAATTGCAAGGTCAGCTATTCAAGCAAACAAAGAATAAATGTCCTCTGGCAAAGGCGGCATTGTTTTTCAGGGATATACATGTACTAACATTCAAACCTTAGAAGAAATTTTGTTTTCTTTGTTTTAAAAAAGGAGTAATTTACTTTTTGTCATTTGTCTTTTAGTTATGATAAAATATTGAAATGAGAATCATCTAAAACTTTTTAAAAGACTTGGTTGTTAATATAATACAATGCTACCGGAAGGATTAATAATGATTAAATTGAATTGGAATCATTTTTAAAAATAAAGCTTAAATAATTTTTGTTATCTGTCCAGGTTGAAGGCTAATTTGCAGAAGAAGGGAGGACCAAGAAAAGGGAAGCGTGGTAAAAAGAAGAGGAGACACAGAGAGACTGCTGATGGTGAAGAAAGAATACATAGATTACATCAATGTTGGAAATTAAACTGACACTCCCCACCCCACCCCAAAATTGAACTCCTGACATCACTATATGACCTAAATGTCATACTCTTTAATCAGTATAATAAAAACAAACCTAAATTAATAGCAATAAAAATGTAAGGATAAAATTACCATTTAATTTTGGCTGTAGAAATATTTGCAATTTGATTCTTGAAAGTTAGCTTTGCAACTTCTTTCAGTCTGTAATAACAAAGATATTGGATTGGAATACATGAACATGAGGTTAAGTTCAAGGTCATGAGGTTTGATTATGACCTTGCTCTTTAAGATATGACCTTGAGTCCTCAGTAAATTGAATTCATTCCAGTCAAGGGTTGCAAAGCTACTGTTCAGACACAGTTAAAAAAAATCTTTTTAGAGTTTTGTTCAGACACAATTTAAAAAAAAACACATTTGCATTAGGTCAGGGGAACAAAATCGTAAAGTAAAGAGTCCATTTCCGGATATAGTCACAATTATGATTTTTGTCAGACAGGCAGGCAGACAACACTCAAAGTGGGTGTGATACACAATCAAAGATTACAAAGATGACAAAGCAAAGATTTTTTTTCATTTTGGAATACAAAAAAAATGATTTTATTTCAGGGGAGATAATCAGTGAGTCTGAGTCTGAATCAGGGGATGAGGAGGAGGGAGATGAAGGAGATGAGGAAGCTTACATGAAGGAGCAGCAAGAGAAGTTGGAGAAACAGAAGGAGGCCATCCTCAGTAACCAGTCCATGTTACAGGAGGTATGTACTGTAACCAGTCCATGTTACAGGAGGTATGTACTGTAACCAGTCCATGTTACAAGAGATATGTACTGTAACCAGTCCATGTTACATAAGGTGTGTACCATAACAGGTCCATAATACAGGGGGTATGTAACTGTAACCAGTCCATGTTACAAGAGATATGTGCTGTAACCAGTCCATGTTACATAAGGTGTGTACCATAACAGGTCTAAATACAGGGGGTATGTAACTGTAACCAGTACATGTTACATACATGTTGTATGTACTGTAATCTGTCCATGTTACAGGAGGTACATGTATGTATACTGTAACCAGTCAATATTATAGGAGGCATGTACTGTAACCAGTCCATGTTACAGGAGGTATGTACTGTAACCAGTCCATGATACAGGGGGTATGTACTGTAACCAGTCCATGTTACAGGAGGTATGTACTGTAACCAGTCCATGTTACAGGAGGTATGTACTGTAACCAGTCCATGTTACAGGGGGTATGTACTGTAACCAGTCCATGTTACAGGAGGTATGTACTGTAACCAGTCCATGTTACAGGAGGTATGGACCATAACCAGTCTTACAGGAGGTATGTACTGTAACCAGTCCATGTTACAGGAGGTATGTACTGTAACCAGTCCATGTTATAGGAGGTACTGTATGTGTACATAAATTAACGTATTCAAAATTTAGCACACCGCTATTCACAGGGGTATGGAGTGGTTGGCGTAGTCTTGAATTAGCGCTATACATGTAGTGCTAAAAAATAAAAATTAAAAAAATACTTATTGTCTATGAGTTTAAATAAAAATTTAATATCTTATCTAAATAATTTTTAAACATCGTATTAGATTATCGCTGTTCAATTAGCATGTCCACCTGGCTGAAAATAGCCATACGGTATTGTGCAGTTGTAGTTTGGTTTTTGAGCATTTAATAACCGTTTGCTAGTAATTAAAAACAGTTAACTGAAGATTTCTATTCCAGGAAGATCAATAATGTGTAATTATGTTAGAGTAGTATTGTGTAATTAATACAGCATGTACATGTACATGTATACATTGTTGAGGTTCACATATAGTGTATGCGGGTCAACACAGTTGAGCTGAATGGTCCAAGTGACAAGTGCCAATAACTCATTTTATATCAAAATTGATGCTCAAAAGTGAATTTGCAAAAAAAAAATCACATTAAACATGGATATATATATATACATACATTTAAATAGGCTATTGCCTGGTGAAATAGATAACGACTAAATCAGGGTCAGTGTTCAAGGCCTGATAAAATGGCAGACTGAAGTAAATGAAAAACATCATATCATATTCATTTATGAATGGTAATCATGAATTAGCGCATCGCTGTCTGCGCCAAAGCCGCTAAAATATGAAGCCCGCTTTTTTAAGTATACATACAGTATGTACTGTAACTGTCCAAGTTACAGGAGGGAAAGACGATAACCAGTCCATGCTGCATGAGTATCCAGAGAGAGATATGTTGAGTTCTTACATATAAATTTTCTGGAGAAGCCAAGGAACATTGTTTTGATTTCTTCTTTTTTCTTCATTTAAGGAAAAAGATCGTTTAATTGAAGAAGTCCATGATAGAGAAGAAAAGCTGAATTCTGAGAAGCAAGCCAGAGATGCTTTGGCCACTAAAATAAAGGTCAGATGGCAATTAAAGCAACCAAGGGCTACCTTTTTAGACAATTTTGAAGTTACATGTATTTTGTTAGAAAATATTTAAAATGTAAACTTTTCATATTAACAGGCCATGGAGAGCAAACTTCTGATGGGAGGAAAGAATATTGTGGACCACACAAATGAACAGCAGAGGGCACTGGAACAGAGGCGGCGAGAAATCTCTGACCAGAAGGTTTCATGGATTTACTTATATTTAACATTAATTACGAATCAAGTTATTACATTTGAAGAGTTTTGAGATACTGGTGTACTTTTTTATGCTGTCTTATGTACATATATATGACAAATGCACCAAGACAAGGACTAATCTAGGCCTTCTAATACTATAAATACATGTACATGTATTAGAAATCTTTTGCCCAAGAGAAAATTCCCCTTTGATAACTCATTTTCCCAATTAAGGAATGAAAATTTCCCCTATGTCCTTAGATCAAACAGTAATATACTTATTTGTGTTCATGCAGGGTTTGAGATTAACTTTTACGAGAACTGGACCAGTTGGGCTACTTCCCATAATTTTTACTAGCCCTGACTGTAAAATCACTAGCCCTGACCAAACCTACAAATTTATTTCTTATAATAGCTAATTTTAATGAAGTAATTTTGAAATCATTTCTCTTGTGTGTCAAGAATTTGAGCGACTATCCATTTGAGTCTGGATTAATTAAGACATGCGAATATTGTAAGCTATAAAGATCATTCAATGAACTTAATATTTTTTTTTTATCCTAAATAGTAATAAATTAATTGTCTATTATTTATTTTTTCAGTAACTAATGTCTATTTTTACCATATTGATACAGAACAATGCTAGTTTCTACCACGACTCGCCTATCACAATCGTGACTAAAAATAGCGATTGTGTCATACGGAAATTTTTTCTTTACAGAGTGATAGGTGTTTACAATCAATGTTTACAATTTCTGCAAATTATGAAAAATTCTTTAAAAGTTTTTAGAACATTTATTTGAAAGACTGAAATGGGTTTTAACAGATATTTTATCAACTCGACCAATCAGTCTACCGTAGTTCACGTATATTTTACACGAACGGACCACTCATTTACTAGACTGGGTCGGTCGGATGTGCCTTAGTGTCAAACCCTGTCATGAATATTTACGTTTGCTGTTGTTAATACCACAGTGTTTACGAGGCTAGTTGTACATGTAGTATCTGTGATTCTTGTATGACTATAAAGGACTAATGACCCTCTGCTCTAAATTTCACAAAAAAATTTAAACTTCCCAACATTGATTTTCATCAAGAGCTATAGCATTGATGATTTTTGTGATCAGAAATGATTTTTCTGATCAGAATGATTTTTATGTCACTCCTCCATGGCACCTGATCCCACCTCTGATGTTTTGGAGGTCTGTGTTTGCTCTGCTCCTATTTTGTAATGTTTAATGGACTTTTGAGCTTGAATACTGTTTGTTATCTCCACATATTTCACCATGATATGAAGAAATCTTAACACAGAGAATAGGAAGAGTAATACTTTATTATCACAACATAAAATTAAAAATATGAGGTATATATAAAAATAATATTCAGTGTCAAACCTATTCAATTTATATTAGAAAACATAATAAAGTGCAGCTTCCTAAGTCAGAATACCACAATGTTAAATGTGCTTTAAGGACAGATGATACAAACAAAAATATGGATGCCTGGATTAGTATATATTTTTTTACCTATTTTGGTTGTAAATTATGTGACTAATAAATTTCTAAAATTTTAAGAATTTTAAAACTTTCTATGATGTTCAAAATTCAACCTTTCTGCAACCATCCTTATTAATCTGTATAATTTTTTGTCGCTTAAAATCCCGTTATTTTGAAACTTTGAATAAAAAATTAAATTCTGTGCGGTTGAACTTTTTTTAAACAAAATTTTCAGGATTTTGGATAAAAGTTTTTTGTATCATCTGTCCTTAAGAAAAGAATATGTCCATTAGAAAGACATATCTTTCTTTCAAATATATTTTCAATGGAAAAAAAAATGTAATACTATTAAAAATTCTACATATGGTACTTGATACATTAAAGCATTTTTAAATTGGTCCATTAAAAGATAAAATTTATTCAATTTGTACAGGTTTGAAAACTGGATTTAAATGGGTTTTTTTTTTGACAAATATCATAAAACAATTTGATAAGTATAGGCAAAGGAAATAGAAGTTAATGTTTCCATCATATATCAGGTTTGATTGAATCAAGTACTCGAAGGTCTCAATTATTAAACTTTGGGGAAGTAAACTATGAGTAATATAAGGATTTTTTACTTTGAAAGTTATCTCTCTTATCAGAAGGTCAATCCCCCTTATATATCTAATTTGTTTTAGGATGAGTTAATTACTGTATGTAATATGTGAAACAGGTTGTTTCCCTCAAAACCCATTTTTATAAGCTTCAAGATATAATGATATTATCAAGTTTAAGGTAAATTGAAGAGGAATGGTAAAGCTTACACATAAACAGTTTAGTAAGTTGATACATGTTAAAGAGCTTGTTTATTGATAAATAGATCTTACCTTGTACCATTGGAATTAATAGTCATCATTGGTGTTAGACCAATGTATCTTTTTATTTTTAGCAAAGATATATCTACCCAGAATTTCAGTGTGTTCTTGCTGTAAAACCACTACCTACTCGTACACAGCTGCTTTGGTGTTGTAATTTTTGTTTGGTGTTCGCTTTTAGAAAAGGGAAAGAGAAATTCAACAGAAATTGGAGGAGAGAGAAGAAAAGGCAATAGAAATGGAGGAAGGATTCCAGTCTCTACAACAGGAAGTGGAAATTAAAACCAAGAAATTAAAGAAGGTTAGATGTGATAGATTATAAAAAACAGATTACTTCTGATCTAAAATGTATGCAGATTTATTTTATCATGTTCATGTATGTTTACTATGTTAATATCTCACCAGCCATTCACTAAGTTACAAGCTATGTGTGTTTACTATGTTAATATCTCTCCAGCCATTCACTAAGTTACAAGCTATGTATGTTTACTATGTTAATATTTCTCCAGCAATTCACTAAGTTACAAGCTATGTGTGTTTACTATGTTAATATTTCTCCAGCCATTCACTAAGTTACAAGCTATGTGTGTTTACTATGTTAATATCTCTCCAGCCATTCACTAAGTTACAAGCTATGTGTGTTTACTATGTTAATATTCCTCCAGCCATTCACTAAGTTACAAACTGTGTATGTTTACTATGTTAATATCTCTCCAGCTGTTTGCTAAGTTACAAGCTATTTATATTTACCATGTTTATTTCCCTCCAGCTGTTTGCTAAGTTACAAGCTATTTATATTTACCATGTTTATTTCCCTCCAGCTGTTTGCTAAGTTACAAGCTACAAAACAAGAAATAGCTGATATACAGGAAGAGCATTCCAAAGAAAGACAGGAGCTTGAACAGACTCAGATGGAGCTGACAAGGGACCTCAAACTCAAGTAAGTATCATTTCAGACCTCAAACTCAAGTAAGTATCATTTCAGACCTCAAACTCAAGTAAGTATCATTTCAGACCTCAAACTCAAGTAAATATCATTTCAGACCTCAAACTCAAGTAAGTATCATTTCAGACCTCAAACTCAAGTAAGTATCATTTCAGACCTCAAACTCAAGTTAGTATGAACATAGATCTCTAGCTCAAGCAAGTATGAAGTTCAACATAGACCTCAAACTCAAGTTAGTATGAATGTAGACCTCTAGCTCAAGCAAGTATGGAGTTCAACATAAACCTCAGACTCAAATAAAATGATTTCAGACTTCAAACTCAAGTATGATCATACACCTCAAACTAGTATGAACATAGACCTCAAACTTAATAAGTGGGATCAAAGATCTCATACTCTAGTATTTATTATCAAAGCCCTCAAACTCAAGTAAATATTATAAAATGAAAACCAGAAATGTCCAACATGAGAGTTGGAACAGAGATGTTTAAATGTTTCAAAATATAGTAAAAATTTTACATAGTATATATACATGGGAAGCATTTTTAGCTCACCTCAACGAAATTGGGGGAGCTTATGTAATACCCTCGGTGCTGGCGTCCCAGGTTAAAGTTTTTGGTACAGTTTTCTTTTCAAGTACTTCTGTGCTCTATATTAATCAGAGATGCATGAAAGATGCTTCTAGTATGTTTCATTGTACCAGTCAAGGTTTCAGATGCTGCAATTTCAGCTGAAGAATGACCAGGTTAATGTTTTTGGAGCAGGTTAAAGTTCTTAGAGCAGGTTAAAGTTTTTGGAGCAGGTCTCATTTCCAAGTAACTATAAGCCATATATTGACCAAACTTGCATGAATGATACATCGAAGGATGCACACTACTGGACTTGCTTCGGATGCTGGATCTGACCTACATTTTCCGGATGAGTGACCAGGTTAAAGTTTTTAGAGCAGATCTCATTTCCAAGTAACCATAAGCCCTATATTGACTAAACTTGCATGGATGATACATCTAAAGATACACAGTACCAGGCTTGCTTAGGATGCTGTATCTGACCGACAATTTCCAGATGAGTGACCAGGTTAAAGTAAACTATAAGGGTTATCTGAACCAAACTTGCATGGATGATGCAACACAGGATGAACACTCTCAAACTTGCTTCAGATGCTGGATATGACTTACATTTTCTGGATGAGTGACTAGTTTAAAGTTTTTAGGTAAGTCCATTCCCAAGGGTCTGCAAGCCCTATCAGACCAAAATTGCATAAATGTTAAATCTAGGGATGCACACTACTAGATTATTAGTTTGGGACTTTGCCTTACTTAAAGACAACATTCGTTGAGGTGAGCTCTGTAATCTCTGATTACCTATGTATAAAGATATTCTCAAGAACAGCATTTCTACAATTAGTTATATTGATTTACTGCTGTCCCCATGTTGTGAAGATTCAAGTTTGTTCAAGTCATTGCCTCTATACTTAGATGAGTCAATATTAGGTCAAAAATTTTCATAGGAATATAGAATTCATAAAAATGTGATGAAGAAATTAAAATGTCAGGGCCACAACTAGTCATATACCACCTTCTCCATAGAGTTTAGATTTATGATTATTGTCCCTGGGGGCAAGGGACACCATGCAAGATCAACATTTTACATCTGAATAAATAAGAAAAATATTTTTAAAATTTTTGATGACAGCACGACCCATGTGAGACGTGAACATTGTGGCCTTTTATATGCCTCTTTTTACTTCTTTTTCCAAACGTGTATAATTCTTTCTTGGCCTATGCAAGATGACAACATTTCTTTAGAAATCAAATATGCTACATGAATTTATGCTATAGTATGAAATTATAATTTAAGGATGCTGATCATTGAGAACTTTATTCCTCCTGAGGAGAAGATAAAGCTACAGAACCGAGCTCGCTACAATGAAGATGAGGACCAGTGGGAACTAATTCCTTTAGCCAACAAAAGGTAATTATAGTGTTTACATTACCTTATAATATGTAGAATCTTGTCCATCATAGTTAATACAGATGTATAGGAAATATTGACCAGTGTTAATAAAATGTGGAGGGCATGATTTTAATGGATTGCGAGTGGTGAAATGTGTGTATTCACTGATTTCTTAATCGTAAATACATGTAGGCATTTTTACCTAAACTGTTAGCTTTGATTCATATTAACTTAATTTGAATTTGAATATAAAGTTGTCCTTGACTTAAAAAATTAATCTGTTTCAAGGTCATTACATCAAAAAATCAAGGTGAAAAGTGCAATAATGGGTTTATGATTGGTAGGGGTTGTGGATGTTTTTGTTAAGACAAAATTGTAGTGACGATTATTTTTAAAAAAGTTTTTTTTGAGACTAAATGTTGTACTGTTTTTAAAAACTGCAAAAACACTTTTAGCCTAGGTGCTTATTTCATTTATACCCACAATATTTACATCAAGCCTTTTGAAAAAAAATTGACAATTGTCTGCACAATATAAAATTCATGTTTTTCCCTTTCAGTGCACAGACCATGGCCAAACGCCCTGTATCTGCCCTGGGTAATAAACGACCAGTGTCAGAGTACGCCAGAGTGGCCGGGGCAATGGGAGGACACCCAAGGTTTAAGGTAATATCTCTGTGTTGTCTTTATTTAAAGATGAGGAGACTGAATTGACAAAGATATAGAATGATTACTTCCTGCATCACCTACAGCTTTTTTACAGCATGAATTGTAAAAAATAAAACTTAACAATTTCACTTATCATGGACATGTGACATTTTGTCAGGGAGAGAACATTATTCTGATTGATCTGGACATGCCAAACCGCACGACAAGAGATTACGACGGACCACAGGTGGCTCCAAAGATTCAGGCAGCGCTCGATGCGGCTCTGATGGATGAGGAGGACATTGATATTGAAGGAGGGTAAGGGAAATTAGAGTCTTACTGTTCTGAGGACATTGATATTGAAGGAGGGTAAGGGAAATTAGAGTCTAACTGTTCTGAGGACATTGATATTGAGGGAGGTTAAGGGAAATTAGAGTCTTACTGTTCTGAGGAAATTGATGTTGAAGGAGGGTAAGGGAAATTACAGTCTTACTGTTCTGAGGACATTGATATTGAAGGACGGTAAGGGAAATTAGATTCTAACTGTTCTGAGGACATTGATATTGAAGGAGGGTAAGGGAAATTAGAGTCTTACTGTTCTGAGGACATTGATATTGAAGGAGGGTAAGGGAAATTATAGTCTTACTGTTCTGAGGAAATTGATGTTGAGGGAGGGTAAGGGAAATTACAGTCTTACTGTTCTGAGGACATTGATATTGAAGGAGGGTAAGGGAAATTAGAGTCTAACTGTTCTGAGGACATTGATATTGAAGGAGGGTAAGGGAAATTAGAGTCTTACTGTTCTGAGGACATTGATATTGAAGGAGGGTAAGGGAAATTAGAGTCTTACTGTTCTGAGGACATTGATATTGAAGGAGGGTAAGGGAAATTACAGTCTTGCTGTCCTGAGGACATTGATATTGAAGGAGGGTAAGGAAAATAAGAGTCTAACTGTTCTGAGGACATTGATATTGAAGATGGTTAAGGGAAATTATAGTCTTACTGTTCTGAGGACATTGATATTGAAGGAGGGTAAGGGAAATTACAGTCTTGCTGTTCTGAGGACATTGATATTGAAGGAGGGTAAGGAAAATTAGAGTCTAGCTGTTCTGAGGACATTGATATTGAAGGAGGTTAAGGGAAATTAGTCTTGCTGTTCTGAGGACATTGATATTGAAGGAGGGTTAGGGAAATTAGAGTCTTACTGTTCTGAGGACATTGATATTGAAGGAGGTTTAGGGAAATTAGAATCTAACTGTTCTGAGGACATTGATATTGAAGGAGGTTAAGGGAAATTAGAGTCTAACTGTTCTGAGGACATTGATATTGAAGGAGGTTAAGGGAAATTAGAGTCTTACTGTTCTGAGGACATTGATATTGAAGGAGGGTAAGGGAAATTAGAGTCTTACTGTTCTGAGGACATTGATATTGAAGGAGGGTTAGGGAAATTAGAGTCTTACTGTTCTGAGGACATTGATATTGAAGGAGGTTTAGGGAAATTAGAATCTAACTGTTCTGAGGACATTGATATTGAAGGAGGTTAAGGGAAATTAGAGTCTAACTGTTCTGAGGACATTGATATTGAAGGAGGTTAAGGGAAATTAGAGTCTTACTGTTCTGAGGACATTGATATTGAAGGAGGGTAAGGGAAATTAGAGTCTTACTGTTCTGAGGACATTGATATTGAAGGAGGGTAAGGGAAATTAGAGTCTAACTGTTCTGAGGACATTGATATTGAAGGAGGGTAAGGGAAATTAGAGTCTTACTGTTCTGAGGACATTGATATTGAAGGAGGGTAAGGGAAATTAGAGTCTTACTGTCCTGAGGACATTGATATTGAAGGAGGGTAAGGGAAATTAGAGTCTTACTGTTCTGAGGACATTGATATTGAAGGATGGTAAGGGAAATTAGAGTCTAACTGTTCTGAGGACATTGATATTGAAGGAGGTTAAGGGAAATTAGAGCCTTGCTGTTCTGAGGACATTGATATTGAAGGAGGTTAAGGGAAATTAGAGTCTTGCTGTTCTGAAGACATTGATATTGAAGGAGGTTAAGGGAAATTAGAGTCTTACTGTTCTGAGGACATTGATATTGAAGGAGGGTTAGGGAAATTAGAGTCTTGCTGTTCTGAAGACATTGATATTGAAGGAGGGTTAGGGAAATTAGAGTCTAACTGTTCTGAGGACATTGATATTGAAGGAGGGTAAGGAAAATTAGAGTCTAACTGTTCTGAGGACATTGATATTGAAGGAGGTTAAGGGAAATTAGAGTCTAACTGTTCTGAGGACATTGATATTGTAGGAGGGTAAGGGAAATTAGAGTCTTACTGTTCTGAGGACATTGATATTGAAGGAGGGTAAGGAAAATAAGAGTCTAACTGTTCTGAGGACATTGATATTGAAGGAGGGTAAGGGAAATTATAGTCTTACTGTTCTGAGGACATTGATATTGAAGGAGGGTAAGGGAAATTACAGTCTAACTGTTCTGAGGACATTGATATTGAAGGAGGGTAAGGGAAATTAGAGTCTAACTGTTCTGAGGACATTGATATTGAAGGAGGGTAAGGGAAATTACAGTCTTGCTGTTCTGAGGACATTGATATTGAAGGATGGTAAGGGAAATTAGAGTCTAACTGTTCTGAGGACATTGATATTGAAGGAGGGTAAGGGAAATTAGAGTCTTACTGTTCTGAGGACATTGATATTGAAGGAGGGTAAGGGAAATTAGAGTCTAACTGTTCTGAGGACATTGATATTGAAGGAGGGTAAGGGAAATTAGAGTCTAACTGTTCTGAGGACATTGATATTGTAGGAGGGTAAGGGAAATTAGAGTCTTACTGTTCTGAGGACATTGATATTGAAGGAGGGTAAGGGAAATTAGAGTCTTGCTGCCCTGAGGACATTGATATTGAAGGAGGGTAAGGAAAATTAGAGTCTAGCTGTTCTGAGGACATTGATATTGAAGGAGGTTAAGGGAAATTAGTCTTGCTGTTCTGAGGACATTGATATTGAAGGAGGTTAAGGGAAATTAGAGTCTTGCTGTTCTGAGGACATTGATATTGAAGGAGGGTAAGGGAAATTAGAGTCTTACTGTTCTGAGGACATTGATATTGAAGGAGGGTAAGGGAAATTACAGTCTTGCTGTTCTGAGGACATTGATATTGAAGGAGGGTAAGGAAAATTAGAGTCTAGCTGTTCTGAGGACATTGATATTGAAGGAGGTTAAGGGAAATTAGTCTTGCTGTTCTGAGGACATTGATATTGAAGGAGGGTAAGGGAAATTATAGTCTTACTGTTCTGAGGACATTGATATTGAAGGAGGGTAAGGAAAATTAGAGTCTAGCTGTTCTGAGGACATTTATATTGAAGGAGGTTAAGGGAAATTAGTCTCGTGTTCTGAGGACATTGATATTGAAGGAGGGTTAGGGAAATTAGAGTCTTACTGTTCTGAGGACATTGATATTGAAGGAGGTTTAGGGAAATTAGAATCTAACTGTTCTGAGGACATTGATATTGAAGGAGGTTAAGGGAAATTAGAGTCTAACTGTTCTGAGGACATTGATATTGAAGGAGGTTAAGGGAAATTAGAGTCTTACTGTTCTGAGGACATTGATATTGAAGGAGGGTAAGGGAAATTAGAGTCTTACTGTTCTGAGGACATTGATATTGAAGGAGGGTTAGGGAAATTAGAGTCTTACTGTTCTGAGGACATTGATATTGAAGGAGGTTTAGGGAAATTAGAATCTAACTGTTCTGAGGACATTGATATTGAAGGAGGGTAAGGGAAATTAGAGTCTTACTGTTCTGAGGACATTGATATTGAAGGAGGGTAAGGGAAATTAGAGTCTTGCTGTCCTGAGGACATTGATATTGAAGGAGGGTAAGGGAAATTAGAGTCTTACTGTTCTGAGGACATTGATATTGAAGGAGGGTAAGGGAAATTAGAGTCTAACTGTTCTGAGGACATTGATATTGAAGGAGGGTAAGGGAAATTAGAGTCTTACTGTTCTGAGGACATTGATATTGAAGGAGGGTAAGGGAAATTAGAGTCTTACTGTCCTGAGGACATTGATATTGAAGGAGGGTAAGGGAAATTAGAGTTTTACTGTTCTGAGGACATTGATATTGAAGGAGGGTAAGGGAAATTAGAGTCTTACTGTTCTGAGGACATTGATATTGAAGGAGGGTAAGGGAAATTAGAGTCTTGCTGTTCTGAGGACATTGATATTGAAGGAGGTTAAGGGAAATTAGAGTCTTGCTGTTCTGAAGACATTGATATTGAAGGAGGTTAAGGGAAATTAGAGTCTTACTGTTCTGAGGACATTGATATTGAAGGAGGGTTAGGGAAATTAGAGTCTTGCTGTTCTGAAGACATTGATATTGAAGGAGGGTTAGGGAAATTAGAGTCTAACTGTTCTGAAGACATTGATATTGAAGGAGGGTAAAGAAAAATTAGAGTCTAACTGTTCTGAGGACATTGATATTGAAGGAGGTTAAGGGAAATTAGAGTCTAACTGTTCTGAGGACATTGATATTGTAGGAGGGTAAGGGAAATTAGAGTCTTACTGTTCTGAGGACATTGATATTGAAGGAGGGTAAGGAAAATAAGAGTCTAACTGTACTGAGGACATTGATATTGAAGGAGGTTAAGGGAAATTATAGTCTTACTGTTCTGAGGACATTGATATTGAAGGAGGGTAAGGGAAATTACAGTCTAACTGTTCTGAGGACATTGATATTGAAGGAGGGTAAGGGAAATTACAGTCTAACTGTTCTGAGGACATTGATATTGAAGGAGGGTAAGGGAAATTAGAGTTTTACTGTTCTGGGGACATTGATATTGAAGGAGGTTAAGGAAAATTAGAGTCTTACTGTTCTGAGGACATTGATATTGAAGGAGGGTAAGGGAAATTAGAGTCCTACTGTTCTGAGGACATTGATATTGAAGGAGGGTAAGGGAAATTAGAGTCTTGCTGTCCTGAGGACATTGATATTGAAGGAGGGTAAGGAAAATTAGAGTCTAGCTGTTCTGAGGACATTGATATTGAAGGAGGTTAAGGGAAATTAGAGTCTTGCTGTTCTGAGGACATTGATATTGAAGGAGGGTAAGGGATATTAGAGTCTTGCTGTTCTGAGGACATTGATATTGAAGGAGGTTTAGGGAAATTAGAGTCTAACTGTTCTGAGGACATTGATATCGAAGGAGGTTAAGGGAAATTAGAGTCTAACTGTTCTGGGGACATTGATATTGAAGGAGGTTAAGGGAAATTAGAGTCTTACTGTTCTGAGGACATTGATATTGTAGGAGGGTAAGGGAAATTAGAGTCTTACTGTTCTGAGGACATTGATATTGAAGGAGGGTAAGGGAAATTACAGTCTAACTGTTCTGAGGACATTGATATTGAAGGAGGGTAAGGGAAATTAGAGTCTTACTGTTCTGAGGACATTGATATTGAAGGAGGGTAAGGGAAATTAGAGTCTTACTGTCCTGAGGACATTGATATTGAAGGAGGTTAAGGAAAATTAGAGTCTTACTGTTCTGAGGACATTGATATTGAAGGAGGGTAAGGGAAATTAGAGTCTTACTGTTCTGAGGACATTGATATTGAAGGAGGGTAAGGGAAATTAGAGTCTAACTGTTCTGAGGACATTGATATTGAAGGAGGGTAAGGGAAATTAGAGTCTTACTGTTCTGAGGACATTGATATTGAAGGAGGGTAAGGGAAATTAGAGTCTTACTGTTCTGAGGACATTGATATTGAAGGAGGGTAAGGAAAATTAGAGCCTTGCTGTTCTGAGGACATTGATATTGAAGGAGGTTAAGGGAAATTAGAGTCTTGCTGTTCTGAAGACATTGATATTGAAGGAGGTTAAGGGAAATTAGAGTCTTGCTGTTCTGAGGACATTGATATTGAAGGAGGGTTAGGGAAATTAGAGTCTTGCTGTTCTGAAGACATTGATATTGAAGGAGGGTTAGGGAAATTAGAGTCTAACTGTTCTGAGGACATTGATATTGAAGGAGGGTAAGGAAAATTAGAGTCTAACTGTTCTGAAGACATTGATATTGAAGGAGGTTAAGGGAAATTAGAGTCTTGCTGTTCTGAAGACATTGATATTGAAGGAGGTTAAGGGAAATTAGAGTCTTGCTGTTCTGAAGACATTGATATTGAAGGAGGTTAAGGGAAATTAGAGTCTTACTGTTCTGAGGACATTGATATTGAAGGAGGGTTAGGGAAATTAGAGTCTAACTGTTCTGAGGACATTGATATTGAAGGAGGTTAAGGGAAATTAGAGTCTAACTGTTCTGAGGACATTGATATTGAAGGAGGGTAAGGGAAATTACAGTCTAACTGTTCTGAGGACATTGATATTGAAGGAGGGTAAGGGAAATTAGAGTCTAACTGTTCTGAGGACATTGATATTGAAGGAGGGTAAGGGAAATTACAGTCTTGCTGTTCTGAGGACATTGATATTGAAGGAGGGTAAGGGATATTAGAGTCTAACTGTTCTGAGGACATTGATATTGAAGGAGGGTAAGGGAAATTAGAGTCTTACTGTTCTGAGGACATTGATATTGAAGGAGGGTAAGGGAAATTAGAGTCTAACTGTTCTGAGGACATTGATATTGTAGGAGGGTAAGGGAAATTAGAGTCTTACTGTTCTGAGGACATTGATATTCAAGGAGGGTAAGGGAAATTAGAGTCTTGCTGCCCTGAGGACATTGATATTGAAGGAGGGTAAGGAAAATTAGAGTCTAGCTGTTCTGAGGACATTGATATTGAAGGAGGTTAAGGGAAATTAGTCTTGCTGTTCTGAGGACATTGATATTGAAGGAGGTTAAGGGAAATTAGAGTCTTGCTGTTCTGAGGACATTGATATTGAAGGAGGGTAAGGGAAATTAGAGTCTTACTGTTCTGAGGACATTGATATTGAAGGAGGTTTAGGGAAATTAGAATCTAACTGTTCTGAGGACATTGATATTGAAGGAGGTTAAGGGAAATTAGAGTCTAACTGTTCTGAGGACATTGATATTGAAGGAGGTTAAGGGAAATTAGAGTCTTGCTGTCCTGAGGACATTGATATTGAAGGAGGGTAAGGAAAATTAGAGTCTAGCTGTTCTGAGGACATTGATATTGAAGGAGGGTAAGGGAAATTACAGTCTAACTGTTCTGAGGACATTGATATTGAAGGAGGGTAAGGGAAATTAGAGTTTTACTGTTCTGGGGACATTGATATTGAAGGAGGTTAAGGAAAATTAGAGTCTTACTGTTCTGAGGACATTGATATTGAAGGAGGGTAAGGGAAATTAGAGTCTTACTGTTCTGAGGACATTGATATTGAAGGATGGTAAGGGAAATTAGAGTCTTGCTGTCCTGAGGACATTGATATTGAAGGAGGGTAAGGAAAATTAGAGTCTAGCTGTTCTGAGGACATTGATATTGAAGGAGGGTAAGGGAAATTAGAGTCTTGCTGTTCTGAGGACATTGATATTGAAGGAGGGTAAGGGAAATTAGAGTCTTGCTGTTCTGAGGACATTGATATTGAAGGAGGTTTAGGGAAATTAGAGTCTAACTATTCTGAGGACATTGATATTGAAGGAGGTTAAGGGAAATTAGAGTCTAACTGTTCTGGGGACATTGATATTGAAGGAGGTTAAGGGAAATTAGAGTCTTACTGTTCTGAGGACATTGATATTGTAGGAGGGTAAGGGAAATTAGAGTCTTACTGTTCTGAGGACATTGATATTGAAGGAGGGTAAGGGAAATTAGAGTCTAACTGTTCTGAGGACATTGATATTGAAGGAGGGTAAGGGAAATTAGAGTCTTACTGTTCTGAGGACATTGATATTGAAGGAGGGTAAGGGAAATTAGAGTCTTACTGTTCTGAGGACATTGATATTGAAGGAGGGTAAGGGAAATTAGAGTCTTGCTGTTCTGAGGACATTGATATTGAAGGAGGTTAAGGAAAATTAGAGTCTTACTGTTCTGAGGACATTGATATTGAAGGAGGGTAAGGGAAATTAGAGTCTTACTGTTCTGAGGACATTGATATTGAAGGAGGGTAAGGGAAATTAGAGTCTTGCTGTTCTGAGGACATTGATATTGAAGGAGGGTAAGGAAAATTAGAGCCTTGCTGTTCTGAGGACATTGATATTGAAGGAGGTTAAGGGAAATTAGAGTCTTGCTGTTCTGAAGACATTGATATTGAAGGAGGTTAAGGGAAATTAGAGTCTTGCTGTTCTGAGGACATTGATATTGAAGGAGGGTTAGGGAAATTAGAGTCTTGCTGTTCTGAAGACATTGATATTGAAGGAGGGTTAGGGAAATTAGAGTCTAACTGTTCTGAGGACATTGATATTGAAGGAGGGTAAGGAAAATTAGAGTCTAACTGTTCTGAAGACATTGATATTGAAGGAGGTTAAGGGAAATTAGAGTCTTGCTGTTCTGAAGACATTGATATTGATGGAGGTTAAGGGAAATTAGAGTCTTACTGTTCTGAGGACATTGATATTGAAGGAGGGTTAGGGAAATTAGAGTCTAACTGTTCTGAAGACATTGATATTAAAGAAGGGTAAGGGAAATTAGTGTCTTGCTGTTCTGAGGACATTGATATTGAAGGAGGGTATGGGAAATTAGAGTCTTGCTGTTCTGAGGACATTGATATTGAAGGAGGGTAAGAGAAATTAGAATCTTACTGTTCTGATCATTCAGTAAATAACATTTATTCTCTCTTTTAAATTTCTGATTTCACCAGAGTCCCAAATTTAATTCATTTCAATTTCATCAAGGTAAATGTAATGGTCATTAAGTTTTTATAATTACAAGTGTCTTAACTTAATAGTTGATTACTTTGATCACCTCTGTCTTTCAGAACTCCATCTGTGTTTAGTAATAAGAAGTCCAAAAAGAAAGAATCTAGGATTGCAAAGTAAGAACATGAATATGGCGATGTATAATAATCAGAAAAATTGCTAAAATCAATGTTATTCAGTGTGAAAATTTTTCATTAGTTTAAGCAAATGTTTTAAACTGACTTTATTTCATGAAGGCTTGAAAGTTTCACTAAATAAATGTATACAGTGTAAATAAGCTGTTTTGTGAGAGAGCATATACAGTGTCTGGAATGTTCAGTCACATGTAGAACTTGTCAGCATTAATACATGTAACTCCCTTGTCTGAAGGTTGTATGATAGTTTACATATGATGTAGAATGAAGGTCCGTGAAATAATTTGCTATCATCATTATCTGCTGCAGGTTAAAACAGACCAAGAAGGACCAGAGCCAGATTTTCCCAACAGCCCGAGGCCTGGTATCCAAGTGACCCCTCACACTTTAACTAGATCTACCTCGTCTTTCTCTTCAACTCATGCAAACTGTCTCTGCTGGTGATTATAAAACAACAATCCATAGGAGCAAAGATTGGAGGGCATTTCACTTAGCAACACCTGAACATGTTTATTTGTAAATTAAAACAAATGGTTCATAGTTTTATTTAAGGCCTATTGATGTCTGTGTTAGTCTGTAGCTTGATGGCAGCACCGTCTGTGATAATGTACAGCATCTTACTTATTGTCTTTGTAGAAGCTATTGATTTGTCAGTGCTACCAAAATCTAGTGTTGAAATCCTTCATTTTGATGCATATCTGTCTTTCTCTGTAAAAGTACATACATGTAAATGTATCAGTTATTTAACAAATGTTTTAATTTATACATATATGTCACTATTGAATTAATATCCAATTTTACAAGTACTTTTTTCTATTTACAATGTATTTATCAGTATTTCTGTCATAGATTCTGGTAATGATGCCGTCCAACACTTTTATGTTTTAGTTTATTTGTATTGTATACATTTTTGTTTTTTGTTTTTGTAATTTTATTATAGTGTATATGCTATGTTTAACCTCCATCAACCCTTGGTTTAATGATTTGTAATGGAGGTACCTGCGTAATGTACATGTCCTTGATAACAATAGCTTGAAGAAGGATAAACTGTGGATGACAAAGCTCTAGAGTATCACATTCTAAGATGACACTGGTAGGATGAAAAACTGTGGATGACAAAGCTCTCAAGTATCACATTCTAATATTACACTGGTAGGATGATAAACTTTGGATGACAAAGTTCTCAAGTATCACATTCTAAGATTACACTGGTAGGATGATAAACTGTGGATGACAGAGCTCTAGAGTACCACATTCTAATATTACACTGGTAGGATGATAAACTGTGGATGACAAAGCTCTAGAGTATTACATTCTAAGATTACACTGGTAGGATGATAAACTGTGGATGACAAAGTTCTAGAGGATCACATTCTAAGATTACACTGGTAGGATGATAAACTGTGGATGACAAAGCTCTCAAGTACCACATTCTAAGATTACATTGGTAGGATGATAAACTGTGGATGACAAAGCTCTAGAGTATTACATTCTAAGATTACACTGGTAGGATGATAAACTGTGGATGACAAAGCTCTCAAGTACCACATTCTAAGATAACATTGGTAGGATGATAAACTGTGGATGACAAAGCTCTAGAGTACCACATTCTAAGATTACACTGGTAGGATGATAAACTGTGGATGACAAAGCTCTAGAGTACCACATTCTAAGATTACACTGGTAGGATGATAAACTGTGGATGACAAAGCTTTAGAGTATTACATTCTAAGATTACACTGGTATTTCATTCTGAACCATGTTAGAGTTAGGTCTGCTCTTTATTTGGAAACATTAAGGATGAGAAATGGAGAAATATGTGAAAATGATTATGTTTTTATCTATTTACTTTTTTATTCATTTTTTTTTTTTTTGCAAGGTTGTTTTCTGATTTGGTTGCCTTTAAGTTCATTTATACATGTTATCTACATGATATGTAAATACTTCACATAATTTGTAACCATTGATATGGGTTGTATTCTAAAAGCTGCAGTCTGTATGAATACATAGTCACACTCAGGTGAGGTTTTGTCACCATGCCTCTTTCTTATGTAAACATATGAGGAAGATTTTGTGTGAATAGTTTGTATTTGAGATGGAAAACTTGGACACTTTTCATTAAGTGTATTTGCTATATTATGGAGTCAGAATGAGACTGTTGTGCAATCAATGCATTTTTATAGAATTCCTATCTGTTGGCTTTAAACATTGATCTTTATTGATAGGCAATGCTGGTTGTGACCATTACTTATTAAATTCCATGAGCAAGTTGAATTTTTTTTTTGTTATAAAGAGTTTAATCTTCAAAAAACCGGCCTGATCACAAAGAAAAAAAGTTGAAATACTACTACTGGTGAAATTATTCCTGGCCTTGACATTTGTTTTGTATACTGTTGCTAGAATTAAATTTTCTCTGAGAATGTCGTGATATCTAAATCTACACAAGAAGCAGGATATGATTTTATTACATTTCCCTGGTTGACTGGCCTTGACTTTTGCCCTTATTTAATGGAATGTCTTGTTTCAATTTACATTGAAAAGGGTTAACCTCTAGAGAGTTGACTTTTTCCATGTTTGCTAATTTTGTTAATCTGCTCTTGGTTACTCAACCTGCATTTCATCTTTTAAAGTCTATGTATATTTTATGCATTATTTATACATGTAATATCTGGTATATTCCCTAAATAAGTTTAGATCTAGGAATAATAATAAGGGTATTAGAACAAAAGATGGCAGGTGTGCGATTACGTATGTGAAAAAAGACATCAAGCATTTAAAGAAATGGATCCCGGAGGTTTTAATCATCCATTTATCTACAGTATCATACAGTGTATACATAACTATACATCATAGAGTATTACATAATGGTAATAGATAACATATGGCACTTGAAGTACACATAGTTAATACTTATATTCAAGATAAAGTAAAAAAATGAAAGATGATTTCTCGGCTCACTGTTTCTTGTAGTGTACATCAGTAAACTGTACGTAGTTCGTGTCGGGGAGGGGAAATCTGACCGAAATTTTTGATCTGTATTTTCTATAGTGTGAAGACAACTGGTGAGCAGGAATCGCTGGAGTAGTCTGATATTTCTATGGAGGGGTGGAAGGTGTTGGTTTGTACTTGGGTAGCTATCTCTGGGCTGGTAAGAGAAGTCATTCGGGACTCCTCTGTCCTAATCATTGTTTGAGATGCATTGTCCCGCAGCGGGAGAACAGTTAGTTTTTCTCCTTCACTTGACAGCCGCTGGTTCGTTCTTGTATCCACTGGACATTCAGTGGACTCCCCTGTCACAGCCGATATGACCGGCATCTGGACAGCAGAGTTATAGGAGGGGAGGTAATTGATGTTTGTTCTAGATAATTTCCCCGGGTATGGAGGGGGGTTGTCAGCATGTTCAGGAAGGTCAACAGGGATGCCTGTAAAATGGACATCGTATAATTTAAAAAAAAAAAGCAGACTTTTATAGCTTACAAATTTAATACAGTCGTATTTTATAAATCCTTACCCGTGTCGCCATTCCGGGTCCTGTACCATTCCCTGATTTTGTATGCACTACACACGATGAAGATTAACACCAAAGCTGAGACAAAAACGAGTACAAAGACCAAGACATCGTCAACAGATGTATCCCGGACGCTCTCTGAAAACAGGGTTTATATTACAACTAACTACTAGGCTAACGTTTCTTTTTAACTTTAAATAAATTATGCTGAATCTTTAAAATAATGTCATTAGATTATGATTTTATAGTTAGTATAAAAACAGCCAGTGAGAGTAACCTTTCTTCTTCTCCATCTCTTCTCTTCTGTCTATCGAATGAAAGCCTATCAGTATGAATGAGTGAGTGATTGGGATTTAAGATATAAAAACCCCATACCCCTTATTCAGGTTAGTTGTAGGGTTATGTAAAATCCTTACAGTATAATTGATTAAATGTGTGTGAAAAAATTACATTTAACACAGAGTTAAATAATATCAGTAACCGAGGTGTCTTAAAAAGTCAGTGTCTGATAATACAATATTCCTAGTCACGTCGTTACATTTATGTTTAATACAAATCATGCACATTGAAATACAATCATTAAGGACATACGCAACGTACCTTACATACTGATAATTTTTCAATATATTCTTAATTTACGATTATAGTGCCATCAGATGTTCGTTGACAAAAAATCAGCATGCATTACCAGAGGTTTTGAAAAGATATCAAAAGATGAAAATTCTTGTACAAATCAAAGAAAAATACACCAAAATTACTAAATATATATTTTAGATGTTTTGTTTATCCAATCTTGTTTTAGAAGAAATGAACAACAGCATATATAGACATAAAAATGTAGCACACAGTTCTTTTAAGTATTGGAACTCTTCAATTCTCGTAGCACACAGTTCCTTTAAGTATTGGAACTCTTCAAGTCTCGTAGCACACAGTTCCTTTAAGTATTGGAACTCTTCAAGTCTCGTAGCACACAGTTCCTTTAAGTATTGGAACTCTTCAAGTCTCCAGGGAAAAGGACGATAACAATAAAAGGTCAAACTATGTTGCGTATGTCCTTAAATACCTTTTCAACAGTTTCAATTTATTGATCGATTTCAGTGACTTGTGACTTTTTTCTCACAAGTCGATAAAAAAAGTCAAGACTTTTAAGGCAACTAATTTTGATATAGCAATATTTCTTAATTAAAATTTGGTGACAATTTTCCCTTTTCCAGAAAAATATGAAAAACTATCATTTCAATTTAACCCTTCCCTACTCCAACGGTCAATTTGACCGATAGTGCATTAAGTTGGACCCGTTAAAACCACAGGCACTTGAAGCATGGATCCCCCTCACACACTAATAAAATATAAGGAGTCTTTATTTTCTCGAAAATATGTGATTTCCCCGTCAATTCTATCTGTATGTCATTCTGTGCAAATGGTTTGTAGTTTTGTTTAAAAATTGGCCATATACGGCATAATAAAAATACACTCTTGTGTAGAGCTTTTGAAACAGCTGTCCAATGACATTTAATAGTTGATGGGTAGCTTTTGGAACATGCTGTCCAATCGCATTATTTTTTTTGTTTTTTTTAATGAAGAATTAAAATACCTGGTGTTAGGGTCACATGAGAAGATCCATTGTTATACATGACGGCCCTTGTAACTCAGGCTGCATGGCTAACTTGTTAGACGGGCTCTGTAAATGTTATATAAAAATATATGTATTTAAGAAAGAGAGAGAGAGATTGTAAAGAAGTTTAGAGAAACCGCCACACCGTATTCACATACCTGTGTAAGAGAGTGTCGACCATTTTTCTCGAGTTGTATTTTTTAAAACTAAGGATAAAGAAATGATGAATATTAATTGAATGGTCGATATTTCAGTGATGATGTATCAGCTACATATTTAACAAACAAATTTATAGCAAGAAAACAACGACCTCTGTAATTCTTTGAATATTTTGTGATACGTAGTATCCACAGCTACCTTAGGTACATGTACCGTCTTATGTGACCTTATGTCTGCCTTTATCTACTTCACTTTCAAGTTTTCAGAAACATCGATTATCGTTACATGTTACAATTTTTTTAAACAAATAAAAACGATAAACATCTTACGTTTACACGGTAGTCTAGCTGTGTGTATACAAGTCCATCAGTCAGGGATACACAGGAATCTGCCATGAATCATATTATTATGCAAACAAATCAAAATGTATCATACTCCTATTTTTATTGCCGTAGAAGAGAAAGAATTAGCGCATATTAAATGTGAAAAGTTATATTTTTTTTACTCTTCGTGTCTATGTTGGACCGTTCCTTGATTTTTATTTTTAAAAAATTCAAGGGGGGCGGGGCAGAATAAATTCATATGCATGTATTTCATCCAAAATGGTTTGAGTAACATATAACAATGTCATACTTATTTACACGTGTACATTTGATAAAAATATTCATTGACAATTAGAAGACCCTCCTTTATACACATTTTTATCGTCCTAATATCAATTAACCTACCTCTAAGCCCGTATCCTTGAGAAATTTAGAAATATTGTCCTTCAAATGGGTTTCAAAATATTAGTCTGTGCTGTTCAACATGTAGACCTAATGAAAAAAGACAATAAATTTGCAAATTGCATGTCTTTTCTTCAGGGATCCAATAACTTGTGTGATTTAGTTAAACAATGTTCGTCAAAATTAGGTCACAAACTTGAATCACTGCTTTAGAGACATCTACAATTGAACAGAAGTATATGATTTAAGCTCTGAAGTGATAAAAATATTTACCTACATTTCTTGTGGATTTTACCGTGTTGTTTACATAATCTTGCATACAATATCCGGGTTTAGGTGAGGTCATATACTGGTAGTAGATCGATCCATGTTATGTCTTAGAATGAAAGACGTTGTACTCAACTTCTAAGCTGAGTCATTGGCTCCAGAGGCAGGCACATAGGATCCGGAAGGGGGGTGCAAGAGGGACCATGCCACTTCCAATAATTTTGTCAATAAATACTATATAGAAAAGGAAAAAAATACGGTTGTGCCCTCTCAATAGCCTCTTTTTTTCCATAACAAGGAATTTCTGTTCGCCCCCCCCCCCCTTCCCCACGTAAAAAAAATTAAATGCCTATGAGGGGCTGATTGATCCGTTCGGACACAGTCGTCCTGATGATGCTACAAAGCTTACATTTAGCTAAATATACATGCATGTATGATGCTACAAAGCTTACATTTAGCTAAATACACATACATGTATGACGCTACAAAGCTTACATTTAGCTAAATACACATACATGTATGATGCTACAAAGCTTACATTTAGCTAAACACATATACATGCATGTATGATGCTACAAAGCTTACATTTAGCTAAATATACATGTATATACATGGATGATGCTACAAAGCATACGTTTAGCTAAATACACATACATGTACGACGCTACAAAGCTTACATTTAGCTACATGTAAATATATATATGAAGCTTCGGTGAATATTCTAAAAAAAAAAAATGACAAGCTTTTAAAAAAAATTATCAAGTTAAACATGTTAAAGATAAAATGATCTCCATTAAATTTTTATTAAAAAAGAAACCCTATAACTTGGAATTTTGATCATGAATGATATGACGGAAACGTATTTTGAAGAGTATTTTTTTTACGCAGTGATTAAAGAAAAATCAAAATCATAGAAAACTATCACACCGTACAAAGTTGTACAAATTTAAGCGACTCTCAGACATTTAAGATCAAAGATCTGATTTTAATCAGACTGAAAAAAATTTATGCATCTTTAAGAATGCATATATTTAAGGGGAAATGCTTAAATTATGTTAAAATATATCTAATCAGAGTCAAATTGTCAATGAAATCTACAGATGAACGCCCCCATCCCCGCAGTTAAATCTGGTTGTAAATAAAATCCTCAATCATACAGACATCTTCCCTCCGCACACAGACTTGACTGTATTCTATTTAAAACATCCCCTATTATACGATTACTTGAAACATCCCCAAAACACCTTTTGTAGACACATGAGAGAAATTCAAATTCCGTTAGAAATTGTTTTTATGTATTCTTTAATTTTTTTAAACACGTAATATTTAATTATTTATTTTTTATATTGTTATATGTAATTAATAATATTAGTGGTGACAAGTTGGATATATTCAGAAAACTCGAATGTATAAAAATTGTTCTTTTTGTTTAAACACTGTTTTGAAGTTTATCCCCCCCCCCTTTTATCTCGATAAATAAATATACACACCCAATATCCTCAAACATTTTGTTCCGTAAGAATCTTCATAAGTAAAATGTTCATTTGTGAAATAAAAAGATCATTGTGAAAAAAATAATCTTGATGAAATTGGACAGCATTCTGCGTATTAACTCATATATTTACATCCACTGAACATAAGCTCTTTTTATATTTCTTATGCAAACAACGGTTTTGATTGAAATACGTTTACGCTGCTTAAGCAACTGTGGATACACCCCCCCCCCCCAACATGCACTTCAATTTAAAAAAAAAATCGTTAGAGACTATAATTTCTTCAAAATATGAGATTTCCCCGCCAAACACATCCATATGTCGTTCTATGCTAGCAGATTGCAATTTTTCTTTCTTTGTGTAGAGATAGGCATGTGCAGTATAATAAAAAAAAAAAACATGTCAAAAGGTGTAAAGTTTTACACGGAATACACGACGGACGACGAAGAACGGACGCGGAAAAAAATGTCAACAGACGTGTTACTTATGTTCATGTCATAAATGGTTGCTTACTTACTGGAAACCTTGTTTTAAAAATTAAAACACAATGACCTTTGCGTTGCTCTTGTATAAACCCATCATACACTATATAAAAAATCTGTTCAGAAAACGCGTGTTTTTTTTTTTTCATTTGGGAAAGAGAACATTAACCTAATAGGTGGAATTTCATTCTAGTTTGTGAACCTTCTACACTCTAGTAAACGGTTCATATACGATCACTTGGCATTTTAGGGAAGAAATAAGGCTTAATCATCACAGCTTCATTTTTCGGAAGGGTTTTTATTTGATACACATTTTTATTTTAATGGGGGGGGGGGGGGGCGGGGGCGGGGAGAAAAAAGGAGAAGATAGAGACGGATGGAATAGTCTAGGTACCACATTCTCTCATATCTCTTCTCACATTGCCAATATAGTATAATCTGGTAATGATTGTCTATCTTTTATAGAAAATATGTTATTCTTTGACCAAGTTCATAATTTTATTTAAAAAAAACACTAAAAGATTTTAGAATGTGAAAATGTAATAAGTATTAATGTGCAGCATGCAGACTGAAAGTACATACATGTATACAGATATGGTTCTGAGCCTTTTTTTTTCCTTTTCACCCCCCCCCCTTTTCTCCATTTTTTTTTTATTTTATTGTACATTTCCCCTCTATTTTCTATTTTGTACTTTGTAATGTAATCTCCTTAGAAATTAGCTTAAAAAACATGTCTTTGTAAAGCTACAAATATATACCATTGATTCATTTGTACCTTGATCTCTAACGGAGAGAACTAATAAAGGCCAATTTTGCCTGCTGTTCCGTGTTCTTTGTTATACATGAATAAAATAATTCTTAAACAAAATTACTCAGAAAGAATTTAAGAATCCAGGCAGCCCGATTGCTTTTAGACGAAGGATGTCCATGCCCACTTCTCATTGATACGATGGACAATTCTGGAGCCATTAAGTACGCGGCTGTTCCTGAAAGATTATTTATTAGGTCTTTCCACCTTTCTGTGGAAAGACCTCTTGAAATGCTTATGTTTATTATTATTAGGTCTTTCCACCTTTCTGTGGAAAGACCTATTGATATTCTTCTGTTTATTAGGTCTTTCCACCTTTCTGTGGAAAGACCTATTGATATTCTTCTGTTTATTATTATTATTATTATTATTATTATTATTATTATTATTTTTCCACCCCCTGAGGTGATTCTATGTTTCAAGATATATCGAAAAGATTTATAGTCTATAAGAATGTACTCTTTAAAAGATTGTTACAGTTGACCCTGCGTATATGAACTTTGACCCCTCTAAGAGTTATTACCCCTTTTGCAATAAAAGCTTGTTATCGCTACTCCTTCGAAACCGTAAACTGTAGAGGTACGAAACCTTCACCAATGTCTTCGACTAATTGAGGAGACTCTTCAATCTTTTCATTGCGAAAGTATTCATGGACCCCTTTTATGAGTTATTGCCCCTGAAAGTTTTTGAAGTTTACAAATAATATTTTTTTTTCAAAACGATAAGTCGTAGAGACATGAAACTAACTGGATAAGATTCTTTGACCTCAGACCTTGAAATTTATGTCAAGGTGAAAGGTCAAGGTCATTCAAAATATGAGAAATTAAGCTCTTTTTATATCTCTTTTGTCTTTCATTGTATACCAAGTATCTTTGCATCATTAATATGTCCTCTTAAAACTATTTCAAATATTTCATGCTTGTCCCCTAAGATTTACCCGTTTAAGAGTTATTGCCCCTTTTACTGAAAACCTTGTTATCGCTACTCCTCCGAAACCGTGAACCATAGAGGCACAAAACCTTCACTAATGTCTTCAGGGTCTTTAGACACAACTTCAATCTATTCAGTGCGAAAGTATCCGGTGACCCCTTATATGAGTTATTGCCCTTTAATGTCGTTACACTTACTATTTAACCTTATAACTTTAAAACTAAAAGTCATAGAAGCATGGGGTCAAGTGCAATGTGACCCTTGACCTTTGACCTTGAATATTTGTTCAAGGTCAAAGGTCAAGGTCATTTCAAAATTTTTAAATTTTCATTTTTTGTATCTTTTAAGCCATTTATGGATTCTTTTTCTATAAAAATTAACTTCAGAGAGTAAAATATGAAAAAAATATGAAATTTAAAGAAGGTGGAAAGACCTCTAATTGTTCGAGAACAATTAGTCTACTAGTTATTATTATTATTATTATTATTATTATTATTTTTCCACCCCCTGATGTGATTCTATGTTTCAAGATATATCGAAAAGATTTATAGTCTATAAGAATGTACTCTTTAAAAGATTTTTACAGTTGACCCTGCGTATATGAACTTTGACCCCTCTAAGAGTTATTACCCCTTTTGCAATAAAAGCTTGTTATCGCTACTACTTCGAAACCGTAAACCGTAGAGGTACGAAACCTTCACCAATGTCTTCGACTAATTGAGGAGACTCTTCAATCTTTTCATTGCGAAAGTACTCGTGGAGCCCTTTTATGAGTTATTGCCCCTGAAAGTTTTTGAAGTTTACAAAAAATAATTTTTTTTCAAAACGATAAGTCGTAGAGACATGAAACCAACTGGATAAGATTCTTTGACCTCAGACCTTGAAATTTAAGTCAAGGTCAAAGGTCAAGATCATTCAAAAAATGAGAAATTAAGCTCTTTTTATATCTCTTTTGTCTTTCAATGTATACTAAGTATCTTTGTACCATTAATATGTCCTCTTAAAACTATTTCAAATATTTCATGCTTGTCCCCTAAGATTTACCCGTTTAAGAGTTATTGCCCCTTTTACTGAAAACCTTGTTATCGCTACTCCTCCGAAACCGTAAACCGTAGAGACACAAAACCTTCACCAATGTCTTCAGGGTCTTTAGACACAACTTCAATCTATTCAGTGCAAAAGTATCCGATGACCCCTTATATGAGTTATCGCCCTTTAACGTCTTTGCGCTTACTATTAAACCTCATAACTTTAAAAGTAAAAGACATAGAAGCATGGGGTCAAGTGCAATGTGACCCTTGACCTTTGACCTTGAAAATTTGTTCAAGGTCAAAGGTCAAGGTCATTTCAAAATTTTAAAATTTTCATCTTTTCTAT